CAAGAGAACAACGACCAGGTGTGGAAGTTCCAGCGTTACTTCCTGGTCCAGGAATACTGCAGTCGCCTGACTATCCCCTTCCCTTTTGTCATCTTTGCCTACATGTTCATGGTGATGAGGAAATGTTTCAAGTGCTGCTGTAAGAAGGAAAGCAAAGAGCCATCCATTTGTTGTGAGTTGGATTTGTCCTTATTGCCCAGAAGTCATCTCTGTGGCAGGTGCATTGCAGTTCCTCCTTGGCATTCTGTGCCTGATCCAGGCAGTTGGTCGTTTGCTGGGAAATTTCCAAGGGTACTGTAGACCTTGGAGGAGCTGGTTGTGCTGGAAAGGAGAAGCAACTCATTCATGTTGTCTGTCATAAGCAAACCCACTGTGTTGCTGAAAATCTCTTGGGTAAGATTCAAATCTTCAAGTCAGAGTTATCCAGTGCTTTCTTGTCCAAGCCATTTCGAGGTAGAATTACCTCCTGTGTAAATCAATGAAGACTTCAGATTCATCCTATCAGTTTAGGGCTGCCTGTGCTGCTTTCCAGCTCTGCAGGGTTGTGGTTTTGTGTTTCTTTTAATTTGTTCTGTTTGCTAGAGAGTGACAGAAAGAGAATGAAGAGTTTCCTGGCCCTCTGGATGTGACCAAATGGGCAAAGGACCTCAAAAATGTGGCGAGTCAGTCCTTTAGCTATTTCTCCCTCATTTCCTCTGCCAGAGGCACAGATAGGAATTGTTTTAACAAGCTTTTTCCCCCAAGAAATAGAGTGTTTTCTTTTTCCTTCATAAGTGCCATTCAGAAGCAGCTGGGAGAGGATAAGTTGAATTAATTGACAGGCTTATTCCCACCCATCAGCAACCTGCCTGTTCCCTGCAGCACAGGCTAGATTTGTTATTAGTTGAGGAGGAAGAGCCTGCTTTGGGATATGAAGTTCCTTAGCACTGACTAAATCATTTTGACTGCCCAAATCACTGGGTGGTTTCCTTGCAGGGGAGGTTGTTTGATGGCAGATATTTCTACTCAAAGGATGCGCAGTTGATGTTGCAGTTCTGAAAGCAAACGGAAGAGTTAATTAGAGCCAGAATGTCATCGGGGTTTTGCTGATGACAGGAGCTGAGACCTGCACGGAGAGAGCACATTAATGTCTAGGCTGCTGCCAAATCCTGCCTTCCCCACTTAACTCTTCTGGAAATGGTTGGGATTTGGGTGTTTGAATGCTTGTTGGTGTCTGGAAGAACAACTAGGGGCTGGGTGAGGTTGGAGGAAATGAAACTTCAGCCATTTTCCAGCTCTGGACTTCCTTTGTCTCCGTTAATTTTATTTTTGTATTAAAACCCATGTGGTTTGTGCTGTCCAAATGGACAGCTGGAGTACTATCCTGGAGGACTTTGCTGCCTCCAAGTGGGTTGCTCTGTGTCACTGTTGAATTTACAGCATAACCCGGAGATGCTTTTTAGAGAAGACAATGCTTCATCTTTTTGAAATATGAAAAGTTCAATGAAAAGTCATGATTCTTAACATATTTCAGTCTTAACATTCCAATTGGGATAGTGTGGAAACAAACGGAAAACTCAAATCCACATAGGAAGCTTCTGGAATGTCCTATACCTGTTGAAGGAGTGGTACCTGTGTTAACTAAGACTCCAAAAAAATCCAGAAAGACTTTTGGAGCTTGTTAAGTGTGGTGGTTTTCTTTTTTCTTTTCTTTTTTTTTTGTTTGTTTGTTTTTGCTTTTGTTTTGTTTTGTTGGTTTTTTGTTTGTTTGTTTGTTTTTTGTTTGTTTTTTGTTTAAACTCCATATTTTTTCTTTTTAGCCAACTCTGGTTGTCAGGAGTGAACAGGAGGGGAAGAGGGAAGTGGGGCTGTGAGTGCTCAGGATGTGGAGAAGGGAATCATCAACCTCTGAGTGCAAGCACTGACCCAGCCTTTTTGCATCTTAGCATCAGAGAGACAAATTTACCTTTTTTTTTTTTTTTTCTAATACACTTTCTCAGGCTCAAGAAATGAGGACAATGAAATTCTGGCATGGGAAGCTGTCATGAAGGAGAATTACCTTGTCAAAATCAATACCAAAGCAAATGATTCATCAGAAGAGTACGTCTGCCCTTCTTTGTCTTCCTTCTCTTAATTTTCTGTTGAATATTTCTAGTGAAGGCAAGTTTTCAGCAGCTCTAAATGTTTACAAACTAATGAGTAAGTAAATAAACTCAGTGTAAATGTGCTTTTTATTTTTAATTTTTGAAGTGAAATGGTGGCTTTTTTTATGTGCTGCAGAGAAGAAAATGTCTTCCTGTGGTGTTTTGAGATCTCATCGTGGAAAGCAGTGCTGCTGCTGACTATTCTTATAACATTAGAAGTTCAGGTTGGGTATTAGGAAGAATTTCTTCACTGAAAGGGTTGTCCAGCCCTGGCACAGCTGCCCAGAGCACTGGTGGAGTCCCCATCCCTGGGGGGATGTAAAAACCACGTGGATGTGGCACTTAGGGACATGGTCTGATGGTGGCCTTGTCAGTGCTGAGTTAAGGATTGAACTCGATGATCTTTTCCAACCTAAATAATTCTGTGATACAGTTAGCAGAGAATATTTAGCATTAGACCTGGAATATCAAACATTGCCACAGCATTAATCTGTATGGAGATCTGTGCTTAGTAGCATGAGTAGGAAAGACCTCTGGGGAGAGGAGGATGCTCTTTGGAATGATGGTATTGGAAGTCTGGGGTCTTGGACTGTGCTGGCGACTGCCAGCTCGTGACACACTATCTTTGGGATCTGTCTCAGTGTTTCAGAGTAATAGTCTAAGAGGAAAAAAAAAACCATAAAGCTAGAAAACAGAACAGTAACCTGCTCTGTGTGATGGCTTAACTTGGTTACTAACTTCCAGCAGCTTGAGTATTTCCCTAAATCAAATGGCAGAGAAGAGCTGATCAGAAAGGGCAAGACAGACCAGACTCTTCCGTGCCCCTGCACATGGACATTGCTGTCCACAGATAAGTGTTTAAGTTAAGACTACCCAGAGGTAACCCAGCATTGCATAAGAAACCAAGCAAATGCCCAAAAAGTAGCTTTTGTATTGGAAGCAGAAGTGTCTTGAGAAGGAAAATGGAACAGCATCCTATTAATAGTAGTTCATATTTTAGTTCATTTACTTGTCATAAAAGCAATGCCAATCACCTGCAGCTCCACCTCCTTGGGAGGATGGAGCACTGGGGGGGAGTGTGGTGGTTAGCAAAGATTTCTCTAATACCTGCACTCAACCTTTTCCTCTGTGTTCTCCTTCTGCTTTCAGGATGGTGCATCGATTTAGACAACTGGATGCAAAGGTACTTGTGCTTCAAATTGCTCTGGGAAGTGTGATTGTCTCTGGTAAAGCAGGTGATGGGCCACTGTTTTGCCAGTCTGGTTTGCCCTGGGAATGAGGATGGATTTAAGGAACACAGACATTAACTTCAAAGAATGAGTGTCGAAGCTTACTGCAAAGAATAACAAAAGAAGCAGTGGCTTATGAAAGGATACACTTGGCAATGCATCTAATCATGACTACAAAGAAAGTTTATAGTGATTAAGTAATTAAGTGTCCCCTTCCCAAACGTGTCTGTCAGATTTAGCTTCTAGTGCTGAAGACATGAAGTAATTAAGCATTGTAGAGCTACCAGTCTACTAGAGAGCACATCATTATCAGAATTGTCATACAGGTATAATTTTTATGACCGTGATACTGAAAAGACCTTCCCAAGGGGTATTTTCTGAGGCTTGACTGAATTGTGTATTTGACCTCTGAAGCAGGGAGTTGCTGTAGCATGCAGAACAGACTTTTTAGAAGTCCAAGAGGAAAAAGACCCACATAATAGTTCAAAATAAATCTTTTGATTGCTGTCAGATAATTTAGACTGCAAAATAATAGCTTGCATTCCAGACTGAAATGGAAATGGTGAGTGAGTCTGTGGCTAGTGATGCTCTTCTTGAAACTGAAAGGAGATGTGATAACCTTAGTTCTCTACTGAAAAGTAATATCCATATTGTGCTTCTGTTCTTGTTAACCAGCTGAAATACATCTGCATCAGGGCTCACTGCATTAATTGCCCTGATGAAGACTCTAATGGAAAGTGTCCTTTCAAGCACTGTTTTATTTAGTGTAATATTTGGAGAGGCAATTTCTTGTTACTCACATGACTCATGAGCATTGCTTTCTTTGAGCTAGATTGACTTCACATAAATAACCTTTTTTTTTCTTTTCTTTTTTTGTGGAGCTCTCTGATTTGAAAGGCCTTCTGAAAGAGATTTCTAGCAAAATCAAATGAATGCAGCTGAAATCCAAGAGCAGCTACCTGAGCAGAGTAAGCCCTCTTGAAATCCATTCTCTGGCTTGAATAAGTTCTATATGTGTCTGTAATGTCAAAGGGGTGTGTCTCTGGAAGAAGAGTTAGTATTATTTATTGATGCTTGTATTTGTATTGTCTAATATTGGAAAAGGAATATGAGCCAAATTCTCTTCCTCGTTTTTGTTTCTTTAAGCCCATCCAGTCCCACCCCCTGCCATGGGCAGGGACACCTTCCACCAGCCCAGGTTGCTCCGAGCCCTGTCCAACCTGGCCTTGGACACTTCCAGGGATGGGGCAACCACAGCTTCTCTGGGCAACCTGTGCCAGGGCCTCCCCACCCTGCCAGAGAAGATTGGCCTGTACAGGTGCTTTGCCTGCAGGTGTTTCTTTTGCTGTCACTTCTGATAATTAGTCTCTGCTTCTCCACCAAGACACCGTGTGCCAGATGGGTGCTGCAATGAGCTCTTTGAACCCGAGTGCTGCACAAGGCATCCAGTTATCAGAGCTGATGTCAGGAGGAGGAAAGCAAAGCACTGAGGTGGGCTGGGGGCTCTGCTCTGACGTTCCTTCTGTTGCTCACACAGGTACCAGTTCCTGAAGAGTGATTTCTCTGAGCTGGCAGTAACCACCAAGCAGGAGGGAACTGCTCTACCAGAGCGGCAGTGTCTTGGCAGGAGTCACTACGATTGTCTTGCTATTTTTACTTTTTTTGACAAAACAGCCCTCTGTGCTTGTTGCAAGGTGAGGGTAAAGCATGGGATGACTGTTTATGTACTTGCAGGACTCCCATGTTACCCAAACTCTCCTTTTTCTCATCTTCCCCCAAGTCCAGTGGCAGCAATTAGTCCTTGTCAGCTGCTGTTACAAAGCACTCCTAATTCTGAGAGTTCTGCGGCTGTTGCCAAAATCGCTTTGATTTTCCATGTCACTCAAAGGGGCCTGTTCTTGGGTTTCCTTTAGCCACTAATTGCTTGTCATAAGGAATCAATGTCCCTTCCCGTTCCTCTGTGTCATAACCAGATGTAGGTTGTTCTTTGCATGCTCTGTCTGTCAGACCTGCTGAGGTCTGCAATACTGATGTGCCAGAATACAGTGCATTTTAGCATCATCCCCCTGTGGAAAGCCTTTGGTCTAACCCTGTATCCACCTTTTGGGCTGTACATGAACACTGTGGAGTTCTCCCTGCTCTCCCTGGACTGTGCAGCAGTGTGGAAGCTCAGCTATTACAACCCTATATGGCAGAGACTTTTATTCATCTAGGAAATGTTTCCAAAGGCCTGGCTTGTTTCCTTAGTGGGAATTTGTATCTTGGGAGCCTTGCAATTCATTTGACTTTAGCAAGCATCTGTTTGCTGATGTTTGCATTTGGAGATGGAGAAGAGCTTGTGGGCCAGCTTTTGATATTGTGCTGCTTCATGTGGGGAGATGGCTCTTTGTGCTTTATGTCTAAAGGAGCAGCTGAATTTTGTCTCATTTTGTGCAGTATAGCTGGGTGCACAACGGACTCAAGGCACTTCAAATGGCATTTATTTTCCTGGCAAAGCATTGTATCCGTCTTCATTCCCAGTGTCTAGGAATCATAGAATTACAGAATGCCCAGAATTGGAGGCTATCCACAAGGACCATCCAGTCCAACTCCTGGCCCTGCCCAGGACACCCCAACAATCTCATCCTGTCCCTGGGAGTGTTGTCCAAACATTCCTTGAGCTCTGGTAGCTTTGGGGCTGTGCCCACTGTCCTGGGGAGACTGTTCAGTGCCCCACCACACTCTGGGGGAAGAATCTTTTCCTGAGATCCATCATAACCCTGCCCTGACACAGCTCCAGCCGTTCCCTTGGGTCCTGTCTCTGCTCACAGAGAGCAGAGATCAGAGCTGTCCCTCTGCTTCCCAGCGAGGAACCTGCAGACCCTGGTGAGGTCTGACCTCAGTCTCCTCTTCCCCAGGCTGAACAAGCCAGTTGGCCTCAACTGTTCCTCATACTGCTTCCTCTCTTGTCCTTTCCTCATCTTTCGGGCCCTTCTTTGGATGCTGTCTAATAGCTTTATATCCTTATGATATTTATATCCTCGTTGTATTATCAGAAAGGTTACTGCTCTTTCCTTCCTGCATCTCATGACCTAACTGTACTGTGCTGTGCATTACACAATCCTGAGGCAGACAGCACTACCAATAGAGGTGTTACTTCTTCCCATGTGATAATATCGGTGTTTTCCTGCTAAAAAGTTTCCAAAGGGCCAGGCTTTCATTGTCTCCCATGGCAGTTAGCGCCCATCATAAATTCTTGAGATAAGTTTCCTTTCTAGAAATTATTTTTCCCACATCAGTCGTATACCTTGGATGTGAAGATTGTGCTTTTAGTTCATTCCTTTCTTATATAAAACCTGCTGTGTATTTGCCCAGCTCAGCCCTGGGGCATCCCTGAGCAGGATGGAGTGTGGCCAGGCTGGCCCAGTGTGGTGGGAAGGGAAGCACTTCTCGGGGGAAACTGGGCAGGTTGCTCTCTCTCTAGGCAGCTCTCCAACTGCCCCTCCAGGACAGGCCGTGGGACTTGATAAGTGAAAGGGAGTCGTTAAATACTGTACATTGAAAAAGCTGCTAAATCGTGTATGCTCCCAGTTAACCCTGGATTTCTTAGTATGGACAAGTTTTTCCTTTGAAGTTCTAATTTTTAAGATTTTAATAAAGTAACACTTCAATAGAAAATAGTTAAAAAAGAACTAATGTAGAGTTATTTTAGACCAAAGTCATGTACACTTCTAATGTAATAAGAACCTTGCATTTTTGCTTAACTTGCTGAGAATTTTTTAACTTTTCCATAAGAGATATGCAAGTAAAGACAGACTGGAAAAAGAACTTCTGCAAGTAGATAGGATCCATCTCTTCAACTGACAAGTACGCAATCAGCATTGGACATTCAAGGTTGGGAAATAATTCATTGAAGATGAAAAGGATACATCATACAAAGGATTTTTATGGACCAGAAACAAAGGACTTACATAGCAAGGAGGCATAGAAAGGTGGGATTTAACATGAATGTGCAATGACCTTTGAAAATATAACATATAATTTTGCTTTTGTAATTCCGTGGGAAGCATTTATGGAGGATTATCCCCAATACTTCTCCAGTGCTGTCAATAAAAAGAAAAGCTGCTGAACATTGATCAACTTGTGTGTCGAGTGAGCTTCTCTAAATCCTCTTGGCCCTGGAATTAGTGAATGTGTGTTAATAAGAGTGTGCATATACAGGGATGCCTGTGGTCAGTTGTGTGTTTATTGCGAATTCAGACTGTTAGATGTGTATTAAATGTTTGTTTGCAGCCACTCTCAGTACTGTGTCCATGAAGGGATTAAGCAGTAGTGCCGATGGGTTTTCGCCCCAGAGGAAGCACCAGAGTTGTCTGTTTGAAGGAAAATGAAGTTAAGTTCAATCTTCTTACCGAAAGTGTATATAAAGTACATTAAACATCTCATTAAACTATGCATTGTAAAGTTTTATCTAGTTCTTTCCAACTGTCCCCTGGAAAAGTCTGAAATTATTGGCTGTTTAAGCAGATACGAGGTCTTAATGCAACTATAATCATTGTCTTTTTGAAGGTGAAGTACAATTTGGACAGTGCAAATTAACCATGTCTCTCTGCTGCTAACTTCAGAAGGCTCCAAGTATGTCAGATTGTTTAGACAAATAGTAACTTCTGTGCAGGGTAGGTGTGCTTTGCTTGTATTTTGTGTATTATATTAGCATTTATAAGAAGGTAGCTTTTGGTGAAGGAAAATGCTTAGTTCAAGAACAGCTTTGCGTTAATAAAAGTTTTGCTTTTCACTGGTCAGGCTGTGTAGTCGTGCATCTTCTACAAGTGCCTGTTGGGTTTTGAGTTATTATTACAGAGAAAAGTTTCTTCTGCTTTCTACAGGCCAGGATCCTGTTCAGACTACTCTTGTTTTTGCAGAGAGAAAGAAAAGAGGATGACCCTTTTGTGATGGTATTAGAAAAGGAGGAGAGACTGGCTCCGGGGACGTTGCTGCAGGAGCAGGTGCAAAGAGCGGTGCAGGCAGAGGTGAAGAACAGGGGCTGAGAATGAGAGAGAGGAGGGGCTTTCAGGGGGAAATGTGGAGAGGGATTGGAGGTATCACTTCCAAATTTTTGGCTAGAGTGGAATGTTTGTTTTTAAGATGTGTAAGAGAGAACTGTTTGCTTGACTTGCCAGAAGGCTGCAGCTGAGACCGTGAAGAGGGGAAGGTGGCAAGTTGGAGGGCAGAAAGAATATCTATGACTTTTCTGTTTTTATTACTGGTGCTGCCTGTCATGCAGGGCAGAAGAGGGGAGAGCTGTACTTTATTGGCCATTTACTAATCCTCTCTCTGGTACAGATAGGTGCTTTTTGAAATATCCTTATTTGCTTGGGTTGCTTTTGC